TTGTCGAAAAATTAATAATTTACGAGATATTTTACACTCTATTTTGACATATTGCCATATAAAATATAAAATAATCTTGTAAATTACACTTTTTCTTAATCTTGATACTTTTGCACTAAATAATGAGAGAAATCAATTGGTGTAAGGAAAATGCTGTTGCTTTTTAAAAAAAACATGTAATTGCATATTACGAATTGCATAATTCTTTTTTAAAAACAACTATATATTTTCTATGCACTAATTTATTTATCTTATTTTATGCATAAAAGCATTAAGATATAATAGCAAAAACTGAATAGTTTATGAGATATTTTATATTTTATGTTGAAATGTGCAAGAATAAAGTGTAAAATTATTATTTTTTTGACAATTTTATCTTAATACTTTTATATGCAGAATAATCGGAGAAATCATATATTGATTTTTTTCGAAAATTAATTTGTACCATTATTTGTCTCCCTTCAAAACGTATATTTTTTATTTCAAACATTTTTCCGTTTTTCTTCAATAATTTTCGAAAAATTTCAATCCGTCATTTAAAATAAGACATCCTGTACATACATCATAACATTATTTTAAAAAATACAATAAAAAGATTACTAATCAGAGTATCCGCGTTTTATACAGAGTAACTGGCATATCATTCAATACAAATGTCAGATTTTCACGATTTTTCACGAAAATCGCGAATTAATAATTATAATATTTATTTGTTTCAATAGAATAGCAAATTACTCATGATTCTAATAGTAAAGAATAGTAAATCCTTATAATTACTATTCGCTCTATATTTATTCTAATAGTAATGAATAGTAAATGAATAGTAACTATTCATCCAATAGTAAACTATTCATGTTTCCAATAGTAATGTCCCATAATATTACACAAAATTTCAATAATTCTTAATAATTCCTTTCCATTTCCGGGTTGTGGTATCTTGGTTACGAAAGCGCAGGATATCGTGACGTAGCGGATCGATTTGATATTACAATGAGTACACTGTATGAACTTTTAACAAGGGTAACAAACTTTTTAATGCAGCTTGCTCCACATATTATAAGATTTTTTACATTACAAAAAAAAGAAGAAACTATATATATTTTCTTAGAGAAGTTTCCTGGAATTATTGGTATAATTTACTTTTGTGTTTTATATAACTTTTTTGTGCAAATGTCATATACAAATTACATATGTATGCCAAACTTAAAATTAAATTTGTGTGTAGATGCTGTGGATGGCATGCACATCCAAATCGATAAACCAACATAAGATCAAGATTCATACATTAAGGAAAAAATATTTTTCAATTCATATGTAAGGTGTAGTGGACCACAAAATGAAATTTTTAGATGTGTTCATTGGATATCCCGGATCTGTACACGATGCAAGAGTTTTTCGGGAATCTCATTTATACGAATATCTTCAGGATATTTGTTTAAGTTAGTAATATTTACAATATTGTTATATATAATTATTTTAGTACTTAATAGTATTTATTAAATATTAAAATTTAAGTATTTTAATTTTTATTTATTTTATTTGTTTTATATGAAATTACATTAAAAAATTATATAAAAATACTTATGTAAATAAAATATTTTAAAATATTTTAGGAGGCTCATATAGTTGGAGACAGTGCTTATCCTTGTTCGGAATACTTAATGGTCCCATATAGAGATAACGGACATTTAACACGAGCGCAGAGACATTTTAATAATCGATTGAGTTCATGCCGTGTAGTAGTTAAAAATGCTTTCGGCATTTTGAAACAACAATTTAGATAATTATATCATTTTAAACTTCGAAATATTGTACGTATAGTGCAAATATACATGCTTGTTGTGTTTTACATAATTAGCAAGGCGAAATAGAATTATTAGACTTTCTGCATGAAGATAATTATCCTAATCCAGAAGCCGAGATTATTAGAAATAATAATGATGAAATTATCCCTGGGAATGAATGTGGCCGCATTTTACGAGATGAGTTATGTCGCCAATTAATTGCTCGAGATATATAAATATGTTTTATATGTCAAACAGAGAAATTATAATGAAAATACTTTTATTTTATTACTATATTTTTTATCATTATTTTATTTTATTACTATAATTTTATATTTCGTATTATATATTTATTTGCATATATATTAGCATGTAATATCTTTGAAATAAAACTATTTTACTATTTTTCATAAATTTATTTATTTTATATTATATATAAAAAATATGTTTTATACATATTCATCACAAAAGTGTTGAAAGTCATAATATAACTGATTAGTGTAATATTACAAACATTTTTCTTATGAAGGATAAATCTCTCTTCAAAAAGTTTTTAATTGAATTGTATTGCTTTATTTTTACTTAAACTTAATAGGAACGGTAGCACTTGTCATGTATATTAGTTCTAATAATACAAATACTTTTTTTAGTAACAAACATAAACTTTCTAAACAAAAAAATATCTGTATTATTAAAATATTTGTATTATTAAGAATAAAAAAACTTAATATTTAAAAACTTTAAAATATTATAAGTATTTTTCAGAAATTAAAGTTAATTATTAAAAATCAACTGTTATGGCCTGAATTACTTCTTACATATTACATATTATATATTGTGTGTGTATATATATATATATATCTTCATTATTTTTTATCCTCACAATCATTCTCGAATCTCAGAATAGCCAGTGCTATGGAAACGTCGGCCGGAAATG